TAATTTCCTATTAACAGTTATTGTGACTGATAATAAAAACTACTTGTTAAATAAGAACATTTAGTTGATAATAAAAGTTAGAAATAACAAATTTAGAAAAAAAATAAAATATTATTGAAAAAATACAAAAAAAGTGCAAAAAATGAATTAAAAACAATAATAATTAAAAAAAAATTTTTTAAACTTTTGTTTTTCATTTAAAAAAATTCTATGATTTATTTTTCAGTTGATCATCATTTTTACAGTCTTTCTAATGGCGAGTGGCACAACTCCAAATCCAAATGACAAAACAAATAATCGATCAACAAAACAAAGTAGAATTTCTCCACAACAAGTCAATAGAGGCAATAATCGATTAAGAAATAGATCAAATTTTCAAATAGTAATTCCGGAAACGATAACAACTCATCGACCAAGATCGACTTTAATTCAAAGTTCAAGTACAACTCCAATTCCCTCAACGACAGCAACTCAATTTGGTGATAGTTATCAATTAAAAAATTATCCATCACCAAATTATCAAACCGAACAATATCGTTCGCCAACAACACAAAATCAAAATTACGAGCAAAAATATTTTACACCAAACTACAGAACTTCAGAAACAACAAATAATTATCAAAATTTAAAATCAAAAAATTATCACAACGAAAATTTGCCAACAACAAAAAATTATCAAACAACTAGTGCAGAAGTAAAAATTCATCCAAAGCAAAATTCTGATACAAAAAAATATTATCAAACTGATAATAATTCTGATTTGAAAAATTATCAAAATGAAAATTCTGGTTTGAAAAATTATCAAACACGAAATTCTGATTTGAAAAATTATCAAACACAAAATTCTGGTTTGAAAAATTATCAAACTGATAATTCTGGTTTGAAAAATTATCAAACAGGAAATTCTGACTTGAAAAATTATCAAACACGAAATTCTGATTTGAAAAATTATCGAACTGATAATTCTGGTTTGAAAAATTATCAAACACAAAATTTTGATTTGAAGAATTATCAAAATCAAAATTCCGATTTGAATTTTTATCCAGCACAAAATTTTGGCACAACAATAAAATATCCAAATTCCGGTTATCAAAATCCAAATTATGATTTAAAAACATATCAAACACAAAATTTGAAGAATTATCAAAATCCCTCAACTGAAAAATATCAAACACCAAATTCAGAATTAAAAAATTATCATCAAAATTTCGATTCGATTAATTATCAAAATCAAAATTCAGGACAAAATACAAATTTCGATTGGAAAAATTATCAGAATTCTAATAAAAAGAATTATTCAAATAAACCAAATAATGTAAATATAAAAAATTATCAAAATTATCAGAATTATCAAAATTATCAAAATCCAGATAGTTATCAAATTCAAAATACAAATTATCAATTGGGAAATATTTACAAAAAACCAGCACAATTGGATAGTTACCAAGGGACAAATTATCAAGGGACAAATTATCAAGGAACAAATTATCAGGGGACAAATTATCATTCGAAAAATTATCAAAATCCAAATGTGTATTATTATGAAAAATCAACGTCGTCGCCAATTAATTATGTAACGGAACCAACGATCGTGAAAAATACCAATTCCAAGAAAAATGTTGATTTAATTTCAATTTCTCCAGTTGCGTCACAATCGTCATACAAAATAATTCCAATAACGCAAAAGCCAATTTTGAAACTTGTCAAAAAAATTACCTATTCACCGGCAAATGAAGTTTCACACGTGACATTTACAAGTTCGAATGGAAAAATTTTCTACAAATGGAGATAAAAAAAATTAAATTTTTTATTGTATTAATTAATATCATCAACTGATCGATTATAGTTCTCGACTGATATAGTAATTATAATAATATAGTTCCTATAAATTAGCTCAGTGGTTAGAAGCATTGTTAATAGAGAAAGATACCAGGGTTCGATTCCCGTCTCGGGTGCGAAATTTCTTAAAATAATAATATAATAATTATATATAATTCTTGTAATTATATAATTATATATATAGTTCTTATAATTATGATAATTATGCAATTGGGAAATAATTATAATTATATAATTAGAATAATTATATAATTAGTGTAATTATATAATTGGAGTAATTGTGTAATAATTATATATTTTTCTAATTATATAATTACACTAATAATATAATTAGAGAAATATATAATTAAAATAATATATAATTAGAGTAATTATATAATTAGGGTAATATGTAATAAGCGTAATTATTTATAAAAAAATTTTTCCAAAAAAGAAATTAATTTAATTGCAATTAGTTTCTTGAATATTATTTTCGTCCATTAAATTAGCTTTAATTATCTTTTTTTTTGTATTAATTTTGTACTCTTTTTTTAATTTCGAAAAAGCTCGGAAACAAATTACGAATTAATTTTCTTTTGTATATTTTATTATATAATGTAATACATGTCTCAACGTTGATAATGTATTTTTTATATTTTGTACTTCTGTAAATAAATGTTTTTGTTAGCAATTGTATTAATTTTCTATTTTCTTCCTTTCTATAGTTTAAAATATGTTTTTTTTTTGCAAATAGAAAAAATTTTCCTCGCATTTTTTAAAATGTAAACTTTAATATTAAAATAAAAATTATAAGTGAATTTTGTCAGTTTGTAATTGCCCTTGATTCAGGTCAAGATTAAAATCTCAAGAGGCAAGTGTTTTGAAATCTCATTATACTTTAGTGATTTTATAATTTTTTGTAGTTATATAACGTTATAGTATTTGTCATTAAAACTTCATTGATATTTTTTATACAAAAAAAAATTAAGATTCATTTAATGAGGTCTCTACTTAATTAAAATCAATTAGTATGATTATTATTATTGTTTTTGTTATTTTTATAATCTATAATTTATTATTAATAATTTTTTTCATTACTTTATTTTTGGTTTTTTTATATTTTTCTATTTCTAACAATAAATCAAATTTTACTTTTTGCATTTTTATCCTCTCTTTGTTATTATTTTATGTTCATTACGATAATTTATACATAAATAATTTTACTGTAAATTTATGTAAAAACTATTGCTTTAAATTTATATAAAATTACTTTTTTCATTACTTTTTTTTTTGTTTCAAATAAAATTTTTTTGGTTCAAATTAAAATTTTGATTCTTTCAAATAAAATTTTTCTTGATTTGAATAAACTTCTTTTTTAGTTCAAATAAAATTTTGTTTGGTTAAAATAAAATTCTTTTGGTTCAAATAAAATTTGTCTTCTTTGAATTAAAATTTTGGTTCAAGTAAAATTTTTTTAGTTCAAATAAAATTTGGATTCATTCGAATAAAATTTGGCTTCCTTCAATTAAAATTTTGATTCAAGTAAAATTTTTTTAGTTCAAATAAAATTTAGATTAATTCGAATAAAATATGGGTTCTTTCAAATAAGATTTTGTTTTTGTTTCAAATAAAATTTTGTTTGGTTCAAATAAAATTTTGTTGCTTCAAATAAAATTTTTATTCTTTATAACAATTTTTTTTTGGTTCAAATAAAATTCTTTTTAGTTCATTTAAAATTTTTTATGTTTCAAATAAAATTTTTTTGGTTCAAATAAAATTTGGATTCGTTCAAATAAGATTTTGTTTGTTTTAAATAAAATTTTTTCTGGTTGAAATAAAATTCTTTTGGTTCAAATAAAATTTGGTTTCTTTCAAATAAAATATTTCTTGATTCAAATAAACTTCTTATTTACTTCAAATAAAATTTTGTTTTGTTAAAATAAAATTTTTTTGGTTCAAATAAAATTTGGCTTCTTTCAATTAAAATTTTGGTTAAAGTAAAATTCTTTTAGTTCAAATAAAATTTGGATTCATTCGAATAAAATATGGGTTCTTTCAAATAAAAGATTTTCTTTGTTTCAAATAAAATTTTTTTGGTTCAAATAAAATTTGGATTCTTTCAATTAAAATTTTGGTTAAAGTAAAATTCTTTTAGTTCAAATAAAATTTGGATTCATTCGAATAAAATATGGGTTCTTTCAAATAAAAGATTTTCTTTGTTTCAAATAAAATTTTTTTGGTTCAAATAAAATTTGGATTCTTTCAAATAAAATTTTTTTGCTTTAAATAAAATTTTGATTCTTTATAAAAATTTTTTTTTGTTCAAATAAAATTCTTTTTAGTTCAAATAAAATTTTGAATGCTATAAATAAAATTTTGAATGCTACAAATAAAATTTTTTTTGGTTCAAATAAAATTTGGATTCCTTCAAATAAGATTTTGTTTTAAATAAAATTCTTTTGGTTCAAATAAAATTTGGTTTCTTTCAAATAAAATGTTAGTTCTTTCAAATAAGATTTTGTTTAGTTTAAATGAAATTCTTTTGGTTCAAATAAAATTTGGTTTCTTTCAATTAAAATTTTGTTTGGTTGAAGTAAAAATTTTTTAGTAGAAATAAAATTTGGTTTCTTTCAAATAAAATTCTTTTTGGATCAAATAAAATTTTATTTGGTTGGAAAATAGTTTAGTAAGCTCTGAGACAAATATAATTTTATTTAACTCAATTAAACTATATGTTTAGTTTAAATAAAATTTTTCTCTTCTAGTCTAAAAATTATTTTCTCAACATAATTTAAAAAAAATAGTGTTTTGAATTTTCTATAGTCATTTAGAAATCCATAAATTAAAAAGATGTTATTAGTCCAAAAATATTCTAATCACCATTTATTTTAATACAATATTTTATAATAAAATCTGGGCGTGGATATTATAATTTTCGCTATACACACATAATAAACACACAAACGCACGTTTTATACCATTCTCTGGATTCTCCCACAGATTCAATATCTGGTTCAAGGTTGGTTCAAATTATCCGATTCTTGGCCGGGAAGGAACTTACAATCGGTTCTTATTTTCGAGTCATATGCGCGTATACTTCGGTTTTATTTTATTTTTTATTTTTTTGTCTTATTCTTTTTTTTATCAGCGAAAGTTTCACGATATTGGGTGTACCCGCCCCGGGCTTTTTAGCGGCCCCACCCTTTGGTCCCAACTTTTGGCGTGGCCAGGGTATAAAAGAATTCGAATTTAACAAGATCAACATAGTCAGTCAGGAACTACCAAGTCCAAGATAAAACATTTTCAAACATGTTCTCCAAGGTGGGTTCTTTCGCCAAAAATTTGCATTCAGCAAAAAAGTTCAGTTTTCTGATTGGAAAAACGTATTTTTTCCTTTTATCATAGTTTCTCTGTTATTTTTAAATTAATTTTGTATTTTTATTGCAAAAATGTATTTTTTCCCTTTTAATCATCTTTTTTTTTATTTATTCATTTCGTATTTTATTTATTATTTGATCTATTATTCGCTCCGATTCTATATTTTGATTTTTATTGTTTTTTATTATTTTTTTATTTATTTATTATTTTATTTTTTTTATTTATATATTATTTAGTTTTTTTTATATTTTAGCATCTATTATTTTTTTCTTCTATTATTTTTCTTTTTTTATTTGTTTGTTTACTATTATTATTTTTTTTTTTTAAATAAATTTTTATTCAATTTTCCTTCTTATTGCTATTTATTTTTATTACTTTAAAATTGGTTTCTTTATTTCTCTTTTTTTTACCATAACAATTTTTTTTATTATATTTCAATTTTTATTTCATTTTTTCTTTTTTATTCGTTGAGATTTAATTTTTTTTTTCATCTTATTTTTCATTTTTGCTCCACTTTCATTTTTTCTTTACCTTTTCATTCGTTGAAATTTAATGTAGTTTTTTATTTCATTTTTATTTTGCAAGCTTTATTTTATTTTTTATTTTTGTTTTTTATATTTGATTATTTTTATATTATTTCCACTTTACGCTTTCTAAATATTTTCAATTTTTATTTATTTTATGAAAATAATAAGTGTAATAACTATTTTACAAAATATAATCTGTTTTCTAATTTCATTTTAATATTCTTTTTTAAATTTTATTTCACTTTTATGATTATTATTTTATTATTTTTTTTATTTTATTCGTATTATTAATTATTCTTATTACTATTATTATTATTAGAATAAAAACTAAAAAGTAAAATTATTATTACAATTTAAAATCGTGAGGAATCGAACCCCAGACTTTTCTGTCGCCTCATACAAGCGGCGTTACCACTCAGCTACTACACACTGATTATAAATTAATTATCAATTTTTTTTTATAATTAATAATACTTTTATTCATGAATTAAAAGAATTAAAAATAATTATAATATTAATAAAAATTAAGAATAATAAAACTGTAGAGGCCAATTCAATATTTAATTAATAAATAATTATTATTGTTTGTAAAAAAATAATTGATTTACAAAAAAAAATTTGTTTTCCTCCGCAGATTACAATTGTCGCTTGCCTTTTGGCAGCTGTCAACGCTGGATTCGTTCAATATCAACCGGCAGCGTTGACATCAACTCAGGACAATATTCTACGAAGCCCAGGAAATTTAGCTCAAATTTCCACTCAAAGTAAAACAATTCAAACGCCATTCTCGAGCAGCAGCAAATCTGATATTCGCGTGAGCAATCCTGGCTATGTTGCACACACTTACGCCGCTGCCCCAATTGCCCAGACTTATGCCGCCGCTCCAGTTGCCCACACTTACGCCGCTGCACCAATTGCCCAGACTTATGCCGCTGCTCCAGTTGCCCACACCTATGCCGCTGCCCCAGTTGCCCACGCTGCGCCCGCTAGCCTCCTCGGTGTTGCCTACAGTCCAGCCGTTGCCGTCTCACACATGTCCTACAGCAGTCCAATTGGCGTCTACAGTTGGTGATTTCTCTCAAAATTATCATAATCTTACAATCTCATTACAAAAAACGAAAAAAAAATAGAAAAAAAATCAGACCACATCAATTATTGTAAATAATAAAATATAATAAAATTAAATCAGTTTATTTGAATATGTAAATAATTAGTTTTATTTTTCGAAAACCTCTTATCCAGTTTATTTATTATTATTATTATTATTATTATTATTGCAATTTTGCTTAATTAATAACTTAATTATTAATTTAAAAAGCAATTTAATTCATTAACATTAACTTTATTCGTCTTTAAATACAGTTCTTTTTTCTTTATGTCTTTTCTTTTATTTTCTTGTATTTTATTATTAATTTATTACTTTATTAACTATAAATTTTATTATTCTATAAATTTTATTTGTTAAGTAATAATTTAAATAATTAACAATAATTACAGTCGTCTTTAAATAAAGTTTATAATTACTTCTTTATTTTCTTGTATTTTATTATTAATTTACTTTTTAATTAATTTTTTTTTTATTAATAATTTCTTCTTCTTCTTCATTTTCCTTTTATTTTGCATTTTTTTGACAATAAATTAATATTACAATCAAGTAAATCCAATTTAATTATTATTGCAATTTTTCTTAATTACTATTTTAATTATTAATTAAAAAAATTAAATTAATTAATAATAACTATGTACACTGAAAAATAATTTATTTAACTCAAATAAACGATTACTTGATCATAATCAATTAAATATTTAATTGAATCAAATAATTTTTATTTGAGTCAATTAAATGGTATTTAAACCAATAATTTCAGTAGGATTTAAAACAAATGCCAATTAATTGATTAACATAAATATTATTTGATTCAAGTAAATATTTAATTGATAATAGGTCAAGTAATCAGTTATTTGAATCAAATAAACTTTTTTCAATAGCCTTCTTGAAATTCATATTTTTTTTTATTTTTCTGTATTTTATTAATAATTTATTAATTAATTTATTAAATTTTATTTATTAGTTAATAATTTAATTAATTAATAGTAATTACAGTTGTCTTTAAATATAAAGTTTATGATTTTTTTTATTTTTCTGAATTTTATTATTATCTAATTGACTTTTTAAATTAGTATTTTTCTTAATTTTCTTTTTGAAAACTTATTTATATTACAATCAAGTAATTTCAATTTATTTATTAAGACAATTTTTCTTAATTAACATTCTCAGATATCTTTTTAAATTTATTTAAACTTTTTATTAATTATTTTTATTTTTTTCTGTATTTTATTAATTAATTTATTAAACTTATTTATTAATTAATAATTTAATTAATTAATAGTAATTACAATTGTCTTTAAATATACAGTTTATAATTTTTTTTCTTTATTTTTCTGGATTTTATTATTAATTTACTTTTTTAATTAATATTTTTCTTAATTTTCCTTTCAATTTGTTTATTATTTCTTAACTTTTTTTTTTGAAAAATTATTAGTACATATTACAATCAAGTAATTTCAACTTCTTTATTATGACAATTTTTCTTAACTAACATTATCAAATATCTTTTAAAAATTATTTATTAATTAAATTTTATTATTTTTAAATTTATTAAATCATCTAAATATATTTTATAATTTTTTTCTTTATCTTTCTTCTTGTTTTATTGTTAATTTATTTTTTTTAATTAATTTTTTTCAAATTTTCTTTTAATTTTATTTATTATTTTTAAAAAATTTAATTAAAGTCGACTCTAAGTATATTTCTTCATGTTTTCTTTATTTTATTGCTAATTTATTTTTCTAATTATTTTTCTTTTCAATTTTCCTTTTTATTTTCCTAATTAACTTTATTTTTAACTTTCTCCTTTTTTCTCTTTCCTTTTTTTCTTATAATCAATTTTTTTAATTATTTTTTTTTGTATAACAAATTAATTTTTAATTACCTAATTAAACTTTAACTTAGTTGCCATAAATTAAGAAGCTTATTAATTAATAATTATAATATTAAAATATAACAAATTTATATTAATTTATTTATTGCAATAGCTTCTAATAAATAAATAATTATTAAAATTAATAAAAATAAATAAACGCTTGAAAAATAAATTAACAGATATAAATATACAATAAATAATAAAATAATATAATTTAAATTTAATAATTTAATAATATTACTTAATTATATTAATTTAATAATAAATATAATTTATCTTACGAAGCGTGTATATAAAACATATATGTTAAACTGTAAATCATTACTAAGGCGTTTGCCCCTGTTAAACATCTACCAGTCATACTTGTCAAAAAATCCGGGACGTTCGGGATTCCCACTTAATTCACACACTATTAATCACGTTTCCCACCCCCGTATTTATCATTCCTACCCAATAATCATTCAACACATTACAAATTTCTTTTATTTTTATCATAAAAATAAAATACCACATTGAATTTCAACAAAAATCTAAAAATCAACACGAGAAAAAATTGAATTTCCCGCGATTATTTAAATAGCACCTAGAACCAATTCTAATGCGCATGCGCTTCATGTAATTCTGCGCAAACGCAGAACATTAACTGACGCAGACAGATGTCAGCTGTTTTGTTACACGCATCGTGAGCTGAGTTGATCATTTCCATGAAACAGTCTGCAGCTTTGTTTCCTCTTGATTGTACTGTTTCTTTGTTTATTTCATGGAGTGATTAAAAAAATTGTGTCAACATAATTGGAAGTGTGGAAAACTCTATACAATTCGAGGTGATTCAAGATTGGGCAGTTATTTGAGGTTAGAAAGAAAAAAAATAACGCTTTATAAAAACCCATCAAAGAGAGAACATACACATATATACAACACAACACAGAGAGAGGAAAAAAAAGGCCAAAAGGAAAAGGTTGGTGTGAACAAAACATCGCGTCAAAAAGTGTCGACAAAAAGGCTTTCTTCATCATCGCAGGGGGAATAAAAAAGAGGTGTATGTGTGTTTATTTGTGTGCGTGCTCCTAAATTTCAGTGTGAAACTTATTATCAAAAAAAAAAGAAAAAGAAGTGTATTTTTCATTTCACGAGGATACTATATAGATTTCATTAAACCATTTTGTTTGCGCACTGGATAAAATACATCCGAGTGGCGTATTCCAGACAGTGAAACAAAAATAATGGCGCAGCCGAGTTCTAGCGCCGTCAGGGCTCTTGCCCTCGAATACAAAAGTCTCCAGGAGGAACCCGTCGAAGGCTTCCGCGTCAAACTTGTTAACGAGGACAACATGTTCGAGTGGGAAGTTGCAATTTTCGGACCACCAGACACTCTCTACCAAGGAGGCTATTTTAAGGTTAGTTAATTTTCTCTTTCACTTCCTTTGGGATATATGTTGTCAAGTGACGCGCCAGAGTAGCCATCCGTTTGTTTTGAATATGCTTCTGCTTTGTTTTGAGTGAATTGAATTCAATTTTTTTTCCCACAAATTCTATTATCTTTTTTGACATCTATCATATTTGGTATTTACATAATAATTGTAAGTTGTGTCAAACTGTCAAAAAGTCCTTTTCGTTTTTAAATCTACTTTCTTTACCTTTTTAACAAATTAAATAAATTAATTTAAATCTCGCTAATTTGATAAATATTCTTGCTTCGTATAAAAATTGGAAAAAAGTGATAAATTTTGAAAGAGGAAAAGAAAAATTTAATTTTTTTCCAAATTGGCTAATATTTGATTACGTATTTCTAGAGTTGTGAATGATCGACCCGCGAGAACAATCAGATATACACAATATTGTTAGTGGGGGCGAAATGAGAGAGAGGAGAAAGGGGGGGGAGAGAGGAGGGTCACACACGTGCAGCTAAAGTGTTGGCAATGCTGACAACGATGACAGCGATGCGCATGAATAAAATTCTCTACCCTAGTACTAATAGGGGTTGAAAAACAAGAGTAGATTGACGTAAAAACACAGAGGGTTCAGTGTGCAATGAAAAAATGATTTTCTTGTTTTTTACAGTTAAATTACTTTATTACACTTTGAATATCCAAAGAGAGGGAAATCAATGAGAATTTTTTTTTGTCTTCGTGGTCAAGGCAATGTCAACATTTTGTATATATGTCATACAGTTAGAAACAATTGTTTTTTAGATAAGAATCATAGTGAAGGTCAATTATTATCTTGTCAAGCATTTACAGGTTAGATTATCAATTATTAAATTGTTATAAATAATAATAATTTATCCTCACGTAAAGTTAGTTTTTTTTTATTCCAATTTTTTGTTTTATAGTTTGAATTGTTTTCAGGGTGGCCACATGTCAGTAAAGTCAGGGAAATAAATTTTTTGTCAATAAAGTCAGGGAAATGTCAGGAAAAAAATTTTTTTTGGCATGGAAATTAAGAAAATTCAGACTTTTTTCGATTAATTTTCAAAATTTGCGACTTTTTCGATTTTCTTCAAAATACTTCAAAAATACTTCAAACTTCTTCAAAATAAACAAATCTTTCAAAAATTGTTATTGAATCATTTTTTAAGATAATTGAATTTTTCAAATATATTTATAATAGAAATCTTTTTGAATAATTGAAATTTTGGACAATTTAATTGAAAATAATTAATTTTTTTAAGTATTTTGTTACAATTTTTGAAAATCAACTTTTGAATAATTTTCATTTGAAATTTTGAAAAGAATTGAATTATCAAAAATGTTAATGATGTAAATTTAAAAATGAAAACTAATGAAAATTAGCTTCTAATTTTTTTAAATTCAATATTTTAAGTATTTTTAATTACATATTTCCGAAAATTCAAATATTTACAAAAAAATAACATTTTAGAATTATTTTTAACATTTTGGAGAAAAAAATCATGTTTCAAATGTTTAATTAAAATTCATCAAGAAAATTAATTATAGTTTTTTAAATTATACAAAAATTCTTTTAAGAAATTCAATTATTTTCGAAAAATTACATTAAAATATTTTTAAAAACTAATTATACGAATTATTTTCTAATAATTTTTTAAGATTCAATTATCTTTGAACTTTTTCAAAAATTTGATTTTTTTCTTAAATTCAATTATTTTTAAAAGATTTAACCCAAATTTCAAAAACTCAATAATTTAAATTTTTCAAATGGTTTTACATTGAAAGTATTTCGAAATTTAAAGCAAATAAAATTTTATTATACAAAAATGATTGAAATTTGAAAGATTTAGTTTGAAAATTCTAAAAAAATTAGGTTTTTGAAAAATATTAATTAAAATTTTTTAAAGATATACTTGAATTCCCGAAAATATGTAATTTTAAAAAAATGAAAGAATTTTAAATGTTGTAAAATTTTATAATTAAAGAATTTAATTTTTCCATCTTTAAAATTAAATTTTAAAAGATTTTTAAATTAAATTCTTTGAAAATTTAAAGGAAGCAAAACTAAAAGTATAAAAATTCTAAAAAAATATTTGAATTTTGGAAGAATTACTGTTGCAATTTTTAGTAATAATTAAATTTCAAAAGGTTTTTCATTGAAATTATTTGAAATTTTAATTCCTGTTGAAAAATAAATAAAAATAAGTTTTTACATTTTTGTTAAACAAAAAGTATTGAAGTTTTAAATAATTTAATATAGAAATTCCGAAAAAATTGTTATTCAAATAATTAAATCTAAAGAAAAACTGTTATAGAAAAATTATATTTTTTAAAAAATGAAGAATTTTTATTAAAATTCAAAAAGAAAATATTGTAAAGTAACAATGGCAATTTATGAAAATTAAAAAATTAGTTAAATTGATGACAATCATTGGAGAAAAAATGATAGTTTTTTTCTGTCTTATCAAAGTTCCTCATTATTGATACCATTGGGATTTAATTATTATAAATTTTATAGCTTTGAGAGATACTTGTTAGCCAATTATTGTAATAAGGTGTAGATTTGTTTTCGCCTTCAAGGCAATAATAGTCGTTTGCAGTTGTTTTCAATTTCATTTTACCGAGTAGAAATATAATTCTCATTCGAACATTTTTTATCCCTTGGTTTTATTCGGATTAGGCAATAATTTACTATTTTCAAAAATAAATTTAGAATTATTTCATTTTTTCGTAGTAATTCACTTATTTATAAATTATTATTTAGTTATTCAATAATATTCAGTTATTTATAGTTTATTATTTAGTTATTTACTAATATTCAGCTATTTATAATTTATTCAGTTATTTATTAATATTCAGATCTTTATAGTTTATAATTTAGTTATTTATTATTATTCACTTATTTATAATTTATTATTTAATTTGTCATTACTGTTTAATTACACACAATTTATAATTAATTAACTATTTAAAAGTATAATTTAAAATTATTTAAATGCTAATTTAGAATTATTTAACTGTTTATAATTTATAATTATTTAATTGTTTGCAATTTATATTTTAATTTTTTGACATATTAATATTATTATTAGTATTATTTATGTAAATTTATTATTATTTCTACAATAATTATATCATTTCGTACGGAATTTTTATTTCATATCGCAATAATGTCGCCTTTTTCACACGCAGAAAAAAAATATTTACTACGAAAACACATAAGTAGTAAAATTTTTCACTCTGAAAGAAAAATGCGAAATTTCATTCATAAAAATAAATTCGAAAAAAGTACAAAAATGATGTTTAACAAATAATTAGAAACTCGCGTAAAATTCGCTTTTAATAATATAAAATTTGATTTTAATTAATTAACTTGATGGAAAGCAATTCGTATATTTATAGTTCGCTCTCTCTCTATCTCTCTTGCGAGAACGTCTGGCCTCACCTGGTGAAAGGATATAAGTTCGACAAAAAATATACATATTATACAAACACAAAAGTTACAAGTATACATATATATAAATGTCTGTGCGAAAAATCAGGCGCTGAATATTAAACCTCGTTAAATTTTCTTGTTTTGCGAAAAAAGAGAAAAAACATTTTAAAAAAAAAATAATAATGAATAATCCCAGAGAAACACTCACGAGAAAAAAAACACATTCGCGAGAGAGCAGTCAAATAGGAGAGAGGAAAGTTAATTACGTTTCATTTAGTTTTCCCCTGCTGATAAGCTTCTTGTAAATTTAATTGTCCTATTTGAAACATTATTAATTCCCGTATTATAATTTCGAAATCGAAATTTCCAATAATTTATTATGCAACAAAATGTTAATTAATATTAATTTAATTGAGATTAAAGTGAATAATAGTCGCAGTTTATTAAAAAGATGAGCTATTTGCTTTATGGTTTTTTTTCTCAAAACAAAAATTTTCCTCCATAAATTATTAACTGTTTTGGTAATTTTTGTTTTTATTTATTTTTTACTGTTAAAATTATTATCTTTTATTTTCATAATTTTTATTATTATTATTTATTATTATTATTATTATTATTATTATTATTATTATTATTATTATTATTATTATTATTATTAATTTTTTATTATTATTATCATCATCATTATTACTTTTAGTTCTCTCCAAATTTGAATTAGTAAAAATGTTTACTAATTTAAATTTAGAGAATACTATAATTTAATAAAAAATGTCCCTGAAGTTAGCGTTGAAAACTATTATTTTTTCGGATTTTATAGACGAAAATATTACTAATTTGAATTTTTTCATTCACCTAGAGAGTGAAAAAATTTTTCAAAGCACTCTTTTAATTAAAATCTTCCGAGAAAATTTTGATTCTTTTTGGTTTTGTAAAAAAAAGAACATTTTTCGACGCCAACTGCAGGGACATAATAAAAAGTAATTATTTTATTTTAACAAAAAATGAATTTAATTATTAAAATTTATATTAAATTCATTTCTTAATTTGCTAACAATTTTCTATTATAATTATTTTAATTATTTTGTTTTTTTTTTCATTTTTTCACGATTATTACAGTTATTTTTTTTTTGTTACCGTTATTATTATTAGTATACAAAATTATATACATTTTAGGAGAGAAAATAATAGCACCTTAAAAGTTCTCTAAAGAGAAGAAAACAAAAGAAAGTGGGGAAGATTGAACCTCTGTGAAAATCTCTGCAGGAATAATAATTTTAAGAGATAAAAATCTTTTCTCCCAAAGAGATTCTGCATTTTAGAAAGGTTTTAAGAACAATACTTTTATTATTTATTTGTTTTATGTTTTTTTTTATTTTGTACTATATTTTAAACGACTTTAAAAAATTAATTTCTTTTTAAATATAAATACAAATATTAATTTTGAAAACAATTTTTGAATTTTTCGTTTTTGAATATAAATATCTCGAGTTCCATATAAGATAAAGGGAAACAATTTTTTTTTAAATCATAATTATTGAATATTAGTTAATTT